GTTTCTGCCATTGCTGTGCGTAATGACTCCAGTGTGGTCGTCTCGACTGGTAGGACGAATCTGAGTAAGTGTCTGATCGGGGCTTTTAGGCTCAAAGAGCATAGCATGCCTGCACCCTGTAACAAGTGCCGTTCAGGGTTGCAGGTTGACGGAGACTCCTGGTGCTTAGGGTGCTCTGCTCAGGAGACTTCCTTGCGGCTCCTCAAGCGCCACTGGAATAATCCTGGGCTGCGCCAGGTAGCTGAGGAGACTCTGATCTCCTCTGCCCGGTTGCTGCGGGCCTTCGCGAACGTGGATAGCAACTTGGTGACAGCGGCGGCCAAGAATCCTCATCCTCTGACTGCAGCTAAGTCCAAACCGGAGAGGAAGCGGTCGAGGACCCCACCAAGAGACGAGAGACCACCGCTGGTCAGGCAGTCCCCGCGTGAGCGGTCTGCAGACCGAAGGTCGGAGGTCGACTACGGAGGAGAGTCCCAGAGCTATAGCGCAGAGAGCGAGGAGGAAGAGGAACGGGCGACTGACAAGGCACTGCCCATTCCACCGCCACCACCAGTTCCCCCAGAACACAAGGAGGAAGCGAGGGGCTCCAGACCTCCGCCTGAACCCCCTTTTCCGCCACCAAGGAGAGGAGGAGAGGCTGAAGAACGAGCAGAGCACCGACGGAAGCGTTCGGAGAGACCAAGGCGGGCCGAGGGTGACGAAGATCATCCCAAGCCCAAGAAGAAGAAGAAGAAGAATAAGCATCGAGGCGGCACCAAGCACCAGAGGCGCTGGAGAGAGACTACAGATCCTTTCCGTGCAAGCCACCGGAAGCTTGACCAAAGCTACCTCCAGCTGTCAACGTCCCTGGACGAGGGACTTGAACGCAGGGCGTAAGGGCATTCATTGCCCTGTTAACCGTCGCAATGGCGGAAGAAGAGGCAGAAGAAGTGGAGGGCCACCCAGAAGAGGGTGCAGAGCCGTTTGGAGCGGTGCCGACCCCGGACGAGATTCGGGAGAATTTGCGGTCTGTGCCCAGGCCGACAACGCCGGTCAGGTACGACTTGACAGAGGCGGAGTTTTGGCGACTGCGACACATACCCGCTGGGTCGGTACTGTTGTTCCTGGATCCCAGGTCCAGACCCGAAGCCCCGATCCAAGTTGCGGTTCTGGTCACATCAACGGAATCGCTGGAGTCGGGGGTCTGGGTGGCCGTGAAGGTCGTTGGCAGCGACGACGAGAATGCCAAGAAGGAGGCGCAACGATATTTCCGTTCAGGAAAGAGGCGCATTCATCTGTGCTACAAGGGCCGAGGAGACCAATGCACTGTGGCAGAAGTGGATGCGCTTCATCTACAGCAATTCGAGTGGTTTCCCCCTGGAGACTTCACCGCCCCTTGGGTACCTGCCCAAGGCCGAAAGCTGGTCAGGGATGGCAAAACTATGGCCTTGGAAGAAGAGAAGCAGGCAAAAGAAGTTGGGGAGGAGCGCCAACCGCCCGAAGAAGATGGGAGGCCCACTACGTCCAAGGTAGAGGAAAGACTCAGGTCGCTGGCTCGTCCGCCTGCCTTGCGACCCAGGGTGTCATTTCCTGGATTGGAGGCGTTGCCAAGATCTGGAAGGGACGACGCCCCCCCAAAGGCTTCATCCAAGGCTGGTCCGGCTGCCAAGGCGGCGTCATCTCGCTCATTGGTGCCGTACGGACCCCTGGAGAGCGGGGTGAAGAAGGAGATAATAGATGTGGATCTGGAGAGCGAGAGACGGTCCAAGAAGAAGTCCAAATCGACCAGCCTGGGCGAGAGCCTGGCCAGGGCAGCCAGGAGTCATGCCGAGCCGAAGGAGTCGGAGAGAAAGAAAAGAAAGAGCAGGAGTCGGTCGAGATCACGGAGATCGAGAAGGAAAAGAAAGAAGAGGCGCTCAAGCTCAGACAGCCGGAGCCGAAGCAGGACGGCAAGCTCCAGCAGCGAGGAGAGCCTGCTCCCGCCGTTGCAGCGCAAAGCCCAGCGCTCGCCGGGGGCAGTGTTCAAGATGCTCGAAGAGCACATGGCGGAGCGGCTGTCGCAGGACGCTGCTTTGGAGCTGGGCGAGGACGGCGAAGGACCAGGCGGCAGCAGGCCTCGGTTCCAGACGTTCTTCCAGCTGTGCCAGCGCCCCCAATTGGATTCGCGCAGCCGGGACTGCAAGGAGCTTTCGCTTCTATCCCGGTCGCTGGACCTCTTGCGGGGCGGCAGGTTAGAGAGGCTCGCGGACCTCTTAGCGGCCCGGCTAATCGCGGTAGATACAGCTACGCGACAAGGCTGGCAGACTGCAAGATATTTAGAGATCGACAACGAGGCCGACGAAGGAAGCGCCCCGCCCCACATGCTGCTGGCGGCCCAGAGACATGGACGCCTTGTGGAGAAGGCCGGAGGAAAGGGAAGCTGGCCGCGGCAGTGGGGCGCATACGAATGGAGCTCCGACAGCAAAGGGAAATCGAAAGGCAAGGATGCCAAGGGAAAGACGAAGAAGGGAAAGTCAAAAGGAAAAGGATGGAAGGGTCCCTGGCAAGGCTGGGGAGCGGACGACAGGCCAAAAGGAGGAGAAGGCGGAGCGAAGAAGGACGGCGAGAAGTGAATGCCCACCCTGCGGAGGACACACCCCCGCTGGTGGCATCTGGCGATTCTATAGTACAGAGCTGGGCTACGCCTGGCAATACAATGCATGATCCTTGCGGCGCCCAATTTGAATCTTTTGTTGGCCCGCTGGAGAATATCCGTACAGAGGCTACAGCAAGTGACCTGGCTTGTGATCTGGCTCGGACTGTGACAGCTGGCTCGAACCCGCGCTGTCCAGAGAGTCGCGAAGAGTGGCTGGCTAAGCTGGAATCTACCGTGGATTTGGTAGAAATGGGAAGGCTACTGGCATGGGGCTTGTTTCAGGGTTTCCTGACAGAGCTGCAGACTAGTGCTGGACCCGCACGGCTCCCTGCTCTTCGTCCGAGGAGCGGGGAGCTGTTTCCCCTGCCAGTACTTCTACCAGATGAGAAGGAGCTTCGCAATGATGAACTGCCCGCTGCCCAACAGTTTGATCTGGGCGTGCGGTGCTGGGTGGCAGTAGGATGCAGAGCAACCAACGCGTTGTATCAGACTGCACAGTCTGGACTGAGTCGCAAGCCGGGAAAAGTGCATGTGCGGGCGCTGGAGGACATGACCAATAAGGTCAAGAGGTTTTTGGAGGGGGCAGGTCCGATGGATGGAACCTTTAATGAGGCTGTTGCTGAACTAAAGACAAAGCGAATTAGCTATACGGGAGAAGAAATTGCTCAACCTTGCCCCCTCAGTGTGAGTCAGATTATTAAAGGACTTCCCCCAGTCGGTCATGGTGGTAGCATTCCTATTTTGCCGTTTGTTAAGGGTTACACAAGGTGGCTTTTGGAAAACCCCATGGAAGCTATGTTACCGGAGTCTGAAAGAGGTGGTTCACCGGTTAGTGCCAAGGTCCACATCAAGAAAGGGGAGGAGTTGGATGTGTTTCGTTTGTTAACTGAAAGGGGTATCACTACATGGGTTCCTTCTAGTACGGCTTTCAGTGATCATCGAGGTACATATCTCTCGGGCCTATTCGGAGTGACCAAGCAGGGAAAATTTACGGATGATAACCAACCTGTCCTTCGAGTTATAACTAACCTCATCCCTACGAATGGTTTATTCACAGTGTTGCGAGGGGACATTGATCTGCTCCCTAGCGCAACGGGATGGCTGCCAATTCTACTGGAAAGTGGGGATGTGGTTACAATGAATCAATGCGATATGGCCAGCGCGTTCTATCTATTCCAAATTCCTGCACAGTGGCACCCATTCTTTTGTCTAAACTTTGTCACAGACGGGTCGAACATCGGATTGGATAAGGGGAAGCTATATCGGCCTACTATCAGGGTATTACCAATGGGATGGAATTCATCGGTTGGAGTCATGCAACAAATTTCGAGGGAGATTTTGTTGGGTCATGGATTACCTCCTGAACAAGAGTTCCGTAAAACAGGTCCTGTCCCCCTTTGGTTTGCTCAGGTGGTCGAGAAGTCAAGTTCCTCCCGGAGCTGGTGGCAAGTCTATTTGGACAATTTCTTGTCGGGTGAGCGACATGACGGAGATGGCGGAAGTGTTGGAGCTGGCCTGCAGGGCCGCGCTCTTGGCGCTTGGGAAGCAGTGGGAGTTCTGTCTGCCGAAGATAAGCAGGTCCTGAACTCCAGAGCTGTGGTGGAACTTGGGGTCAGGTTTGACGGTGAGAGAGGGCTGCTGGGCGCATCGGCGAGCCGTTTGCTCAAGACGATCTGGGTATCGTTGTATCTCTTGAGGAATGGGCGCTGGAGCCAGAAAGAAGCCCAAGTAGTACTTGGCAGATGGGTGTTTATTTTACAATTCAGGAGAGCAGCCATGAGCGTCCTGGCGAAGAGCTGGAGGGCAGTGGAGAGCCCCTGGCCAAAACCAAGCGAGCGCAATACCCTCCTCCAAGAGGTGATGAAGTTGATCTGTATGGGGCCCCTCCTGCAGTCGGATCTGACGGCGTCGTTTGAGCCTCATGTCACGTGCTCTGACGCCTCAGAGACCGGAGGGGCATCAGCTGTGAGCTCTGACCTTACCTGGTCGGGGAGGTCGCTGGCCTCAGCCCGCTGCGACTTGCGACTCCGACCTTTGGAGGTGCCGATCGTGGTCCTGTCTATCTTCAACGGGATAGGCGGAGCATTCCGCTTGTATGACGTGCTTGGATTGGTTCCTATGGGACGGATTGCAGTGGAGCTGTATAAACCAGCCAACAGAACAACGCGAACTGCCTGGCCCAATGTGATGGAGTTTCACGATGTGTGTGAGCTGACATATCAAGACGTTCAAAAATGGGCGGCACTATTCCCGAGGGCGCTGGAGCTGCATGCGTACGCTGGCTTCCCGTGCGTACATCTGTCGGCAGTCAGGGCGTTTCGCCAAAACCTGGATGGGGAAGGATCAAACCTTTTCTGGCGCTTGTTGGAAATACTTGGCTGGGTTACTGAAGTATTTAGCCCCTTCTGCAAGGTCAAATGGTGTGTGGAGAATGTGGCATCAATGGATGAGTCGGCGCGGAAAGCTATTTCAGCCGAGCTGGAGGTTATGCCCATCAAGTTGGATCCCTCGGACTGCATGCCATTCAACAGACCCAGGTTTGCGTGGAGCTCGGTCGAACTACACCAGATGGAAGGGGTCTCGCTGTACACAGAATGTGAGTACGTGCGAGCTTACCTATCGACAGGTGTTGAGGTGAGTACACAGCAATGGATCAGGCCGGGCTGGAAATGGCATGGGGAGCAGAGCGGCACGAAATTTGCCACCTTCATGAAGTCAATTAAGAGAAAGAAGCCGCCCCCTGTGCCAGTGGGCTATGACAAGGCTACGCCAGAGATGATCGAGATGTGGCAAGGTGACTCCTTCAGGTTTCCGCCCTACCAATACCATCCTAAGTTCTGGCTGGAGCGGCATGGTTTCCCTCCGCGCCTTTTGGATGCTAGCGAGCGTGAGCTCCTGATGGGCTTTGGAGCAGGTCACACAGACACCTGTCAGAGTGCGAGCGTCAAGAAGCGGAGCCTCGCAGATCATGAAGATATTCGGAAGTCTCTCTGCGGGGACAGCTTTGCGATTTTGCCTTTTGCGGTAATCGCTGCTTCCCTCTGTGAGGATCTGGTGCCACGTATGACGCCACAACAAATACTACTTCGGCTTGGACTGGCCCCAGGACAATCTGCGCACCCGTCAGTGCAAGTGCCCATTACGCGACTGCTGGCCTATGGAGGTGATACGTCGAAGCCGTGCTCACCACTCGAGCTGACCAAGCAACTTGGCTTATCAGTTAATCATACTGGGGCGGACGTCCGGGTTGTCACGGGACAGGTTCTGGGGCATAAGTCACCAACCCATGCGTCAGTTAGGGCATGGTGGTGGCAGTGGAAACAGTTGTTCACTGTCCGTTGGAAGGGTCATAACCACATCAATTATTTGGAGATGAAAATGATCCTTCACAGTTTGTTGTGGCGATGTCGGGACCCCAAAAGTGTTAATAAAAGGTGGGTTCATCTCGAAGACAGCATGGTCTGCTTGCTGATTCTAACCAAAGGTACGACGTCAAGCAGGTTGCTGCAGCCGTTGACCAGCAAAATAGGGGCGCTCCAGTTGGCGATGGGCGCTGTTTTGCTCCATGCCCACGTGGGTTCGGATGAGAACCCCACTGATGCTGGAAGCCGCAGTTAGGCTGACATCGGTTTTTCATGCCGCGCAGTGGCCCCCGGGTTCTGCTGGCAGGAAAAACAAGAGATGAGCGTCGCCGTTTGCGCGCTGGTGTCAGCCTACGAAGCTTCACTATCAGCCAAGGGACAAGGCGGCGCTATGAATCAGCAGTCGGGCTGATATTGCCTTTTTTGGAAGAGCATGGGCTGTCTGATTGCGACCAGCTGGTGTCAGAGTGGGTCGAATGTCAATGGGTGCGCGGGGAATCTGTTAATGTGATCGCTGACTGCCTCAGCGGGCTTCATTTCTTTCTTCCGGAGCTGAAAGGAGCTTTGCGGCAGTCGTGGTGACTCTTTCGCTCTTGGCGGAGGATTGAAGCCCCCAGCCGAGCACCCCCACTGACACCGGAGCTGGTCAAAGCAATTGTCGCCCGAGCAGTTGATCAGAACCATTTGGCGTTTGCTACCATGGTTGCTATTGGCTTCCACGCTTTGCTGAGGACTGGTGAATTCCTTGCCCTGCAGTTTCAGGACGTGGAGTTTGCTACCTCCTGCGGAGTGATTACCTTGAAAAGTTCCAAGTCGGGACTGCGCCATGGTAGCGAAGAGGCCGTGGCCATCAGAGATGGCTTGACGCTGTCCCTGCTGGAGACCTTGTTTTCCGTGCAGGAACATGGACCAGGCAATACACTCTGGCCTTTCTCGGCACAGTGTTTCCGGGAAACCTTCCAACAATATATGAGATTCTTTCGCCTCTCAGGTTTCGCCTTCAAACCTTATAGCTTGAGACGAGGGGGGGCAACACACTTGCTTCAATGTGGCACCCCCTTGGATGTTATTTTATTACGTGGAAGATGGAATTCCCTTTCAGTTGCCAGACTCTACCTCCAAGATGGTCTGGCTCAAATGCCGACTCTCAGGATTCCGGCGGCGGACAGGCCTCGCATTGATTTTTGGGCTTCGCATTGCCCGAAGACGGCTTTTAAGCCGTGAAAGGGCCCGTGGAACAGAGGTGGTATCCCCGGTCACTAATTTGAAGGAATTTATGAATTCATATGTTTTCACACCAAGCCATACCTGTTGGCTAATGTAAATGAGTGGTGTCCCATTAATCCATACCAGTTGGATCTGGGCACTCACTGAACCAGGTCATACCTGTTGGCCTGTGAGAAGTTGGAATACAGAAATATCCTGGCAAAAAGCCAGTGGTAAATGACTACCACCGGGTTCAGCACGCTCGAAAAGGATGAGTCCTATGTGGTCGTCTCGACTGGTAGGACGAATCTGAGTAAGTGTCTGATCGGGGCTTTTAGGCTCAAAGAGCACCCATCCCTTCCCCCCCGGTGCTGAGTTTTCTCTTCTCGTGCGCTGGGCTGTGGAACAGAGGTGGTATCCCCGGTCACTAATTTGAAGGAATTTATGAATTCATATGTTTTCACACCAAGCCATACCTGTTGGCTAATGTAAATGAGTGGTGTCCCATTAATCCATACCAGTTGGATCTGGGCACTCACTGAACCAGGTCATACCTGTTGGCCTGTGAGAAGTTGGAATACAGAAATATCCTGGCAAAAAGCCAGTGGTAAATGACTACCACCGGGTTCAGCACGCTCGAAAAGGATGAGTCCTAAAAATGGTCAAGTCAAAGAAACACCTACTTGTGGTAGTAGAACTGTAATTCTAAATGATTTGTTGAAACACAGGCGCAAAACAAAGAAAACCTAGCAACGTTCGGAAACATGGCTCCACAAGAACGTCGCAATAGCAAAACAAATGCGAAGACCGTTTTTTGACCAAAACATTCCAAAAGAAAAACATGGGATTGTGGCTCTCCAGGATATATATTCTGTATATAATATATATTAATGTGTATACTGCATAGACATACATGTTATCCATGAAGGTCACCTCCGTACTTCCATGTACACGCTTTCTCATGTGTAGATCATTGATAGAATAGATTCAACTACCCATATTTAACTATCCATTGATACAATATATACCGTTAAAGGGAAAATTAGAATGCGGTTTTGGCTTCGCGTGATGGCCCGTTTGGGCCCCTCCCCACGGCATAAATAAATAGTTCTCCAAAGTGACACGTTTAACTCCCTCTGTGCAGGTGGAATCAAGATGCGGGCTTTCATCTTCCAAGGCCCAGGTGGAGCCTGCAGACCGTTTGAAATTGGCAGATCCAGGGATTTCCATTGAGATCCTAGGGACATGATCTGAAAAGGATTTTTCTCCGTAAATTTGATGTTAGTTGACTGGAAGGTGCAGAGTTGGGATGATTTTTGGGTCTGTTGTTGTTGTTGTTGCATTCACATAATCTTGGCCCATATCATCAATGAACAGGTATATGGATAGTTCTGACTCTTTGGTGGTATCAACAATTTGGTCCTTCCCGCCCCAAGAACATTTCCATAATGATTGCAGCAGGGTCTGGTCTCCTTGTGCAAAGTATTGGCAGGAGACAGCGCAGAGGATTTGAAGTTCGTTGTTGCTGGCATTCCCAAATGGCTGGAATTTGGCCTCTACGAATACCCAGGACACGGTTGGCGTGCCAGTGAGGACTGCCCAGGGGGGAGGAAAGTGCAAGGGAGTTGAGGGCTGCCATCAAGAGTGAAAGGTTTGCGGTGGACATGTTTCACTCCTTTAAGGTTCTAGTACGATGCTGGTAAAGTATCTTCTAAAGTTTCTCCGCCTAGAGTTTCTTGTATCACATTCTTTTGCGTATGCATGCACACTAAAAAACACCAACGGGGTAAAATTCTACTATATTCATTCCCTATTCTACCCCCAAGATATTCAATGAACCCCTGATTGATTGGTTCAAGGATCAATCTACTGATGGTTTCCAGTATATTCTTCCTTAAATCAGTCCATTCAAATTGCCTACAGGACATGGAAATTCCAACCTGACTTCACTAATCAAACTATCATCCCCCAAACTAACATACACCCTGCAAATAGGGTGCTGGAACACCAAAAAATCATTGATTCTCAGGCTCATACTGTTCGTTTGGGGGATGATAAGGATGTTTTTGCCGATCAACGCATGTTAAACCCGTCATTTTATTGATGAAATATATGAAATCCAACTTTCTGTGGGTGAACTCCCGATTTTCGCCGGTGAAGTCCTTATTTCTTGCAGCCAGGAGCCGGCGAAGGATTTCGAGTCCCTGGCCAAGGATGCCCTGGAAGCCATCCTGCCGGCCATTGAGGAGATCCCCATGGGGAATCTGTGGGAAAATGGTGGTTTTTTGAATGGGACATCCATTGTTGATATCATTTTTAATGGGGCATCCATCCATTTTTTTAAGATGGAATTTTATAATGGTCGATTTTTTTAAAACCATTTTCCCATTGTTTAAAATCCAGGGATTTGTGGAAAACGGTTGACTTTTGTGGGACAATCAAGTTTTCTGTTTTTTTACTGGGACAATGGTTGATTGATTTTATGGGAAAACGCTTGATAATATATTTTAGGAAAATTAGTGTTTTTTTTGTTGGGAACATGTTTTATTTGGCATTTTTCATGGTGGTTTCTATCGTTGGACCATGGTGAAATTTAAGATATGTCTTGAATGAACTTGGGTTTGAGTCGTCGTCTTTAGTGTTAACAGTATGTCAATGTCAATCGAGTAGTTAACCCTATTTTCCCCTCTCAAATCGCCTAGATTGGGAGTATAATCCATTTTGGGGATCAGTGGTCCATTGCTATAACCCAATCTCGTTGATTTGATTTATGGGATAGTCATCATTCCCCCTGTTAAAATGGCCATAACTTGGGGCACCTACAGCCAATTTTCACACAGGCTACCACAATTGCTACCACATTTTAGGATTCCCAATCCTACCATCCCAAGTTCTTCTGAGAGAATTGAGCACATGGAAGCTGCTCTCATCTGCAGATGCATTGTGGTTGTGGATAGGGGGTGTAAGGGTCAGGATCAACAAGTGAATGTCATGTCAGGCCGTGCGGGGTGGCCAAGCCATAGGGAATAACACTACATAAACACACACACACATATATATATATAAACACCAACCAGCTTGAGGATCACCAGTTTGGGCTCAAACAGTAACACATGACCAACACTGGTGGATCAGTGTCCAGACTGTATTGAGAGCAGGTAATAAATGTGAATGTATTATTATTACTATATATTACTATTATTATCATTATTATTCTTGTAATCATTATTGTTATTGTTAAAATTATTGTCATTATTCTTACAGTATTATTATTGCAGTTATTATTCTGATGACGATGATGACGATTATTATTATTCTTTTATTATCATTTATTATTATTGTTTATTGTTATTATTATTACTATTATTGGAAGATCGCTTCTATCCTACTTGACCGGGTTTCTGCAGCTCTTTAACAATTCCTACACTTGGACCTTCAGGAGTTGATCGAGGGCGCCAAGTACGAAGGCGGGCTGTGCCAGTCTTCTGTGGTTTCAATTTTTTTTACATTTGCTTATCATTTCATGCTGATTGGTATACCCTCCGGTCCTTAGTGGTGCTGCCCCAAATGTCCAAGTTTTTGCGGGATAATCCACAGGAATCCCCATATTATCCCCATATTCAACGGTAAAAAGAACCATACTCCCAACATATCCCCCTTTATTCCCATATGATCCCCATGTCATCCCATGATTCTTTCCTTCCCGGCACTATCCAGGTGCTCCCTTCGTTTTCATGGGCCGGTCCGTCGGCTGCCAGTTCCTCACCCAGAAAAAACGCATGTGAATCAACAACAACTATATATATATAATTAATACATATGTAAGTATCTGTGTATGCAATATGGATATGAAACAACCATGCATTTGTATGCATTTGTATGCATTTGTATGCATTTGTCTATACATCAAGAGATAAATTAATGAACATAATGTGTATATATAATTGTATATGTATGCATATATATATGTGCATATATATATATGTATATACACATACACATACGCGCTTTATACATATATGTGAAGAGATGAATAGATATTTGTATATTCATATATATATATAATATTATTACCTCACAGTGCCAGCAATCACAGAATCGCATCGACAAAACGGATCTCATCACGGGGGTTCTGAATCCAACGTCCTGCCGTCCCGCATCCAACGAGGCTTTTAGTCCATCTGTCCAAGACGATCCTTGCAGCTGGGCGGGATGATCCAATGACCCCTGAAGGCCCTGAAGTTCGGACATGGCGGATATACACATCCCTCTTAACATTTCCATGGCGGAGGCGGTATGGAGGGTGGTTCTAATTTCACATCCCAAATATCAGGACAAATAGCTTCATATTAATGTTCATATTTGTTCATCCTGGTTAGAATTCCAGCTGTCAACCATTTATGAACTGCCATAGTAACCAGTGATTAACCTCCATGATTCATCAAGGATCATCCCAGCTGAGCCTCCGAGGTAAAGTATGGCGTGGGGCCCAGTGCGGTGGTGGTCACCGACCGAGCGCCACCCAGCGTGCCACTGCTGTCTGAGCAGGGACAGAAGGAGTTGAAGTCGGATCCCAACAAGGCCATCCCCAGCAACTGAAAGGGGAGCTGTTTTGCCAATTTGTTGCAACAACTGGGCAAGTTCAGACAGTTCAAGTATATACATGTTCCAGGAAAACAAAAAACTTCGCTTGCTTCACAAATTCATCACCCTGGATTGGCGGAAGACACTTTTTGCATGCTCAATGCACATGAATATACACCTACACAGTCTTACACATGATATATATATATACATAATATATATACATATATATACATAATATATATATATATATATATATATGCACAATCTTATACAGACAAGATGAACTGTCAAACTCAACATAAGTCAACACACAGTTTCTCTTTAAATATGCAACATATGCGTGTACTGTGTACATAAAGGTACATGATACAAGCATGTATGATATATATATATATACACCTATCCGACATCTCATCCCTTCGAGCCCTTCCAGCTTTGAGCCCCACATTGCTTTGGACCACGGTGTTTTTTCTATGGCAGGTGGTGAAGGCTTTCAACTGGTCCAATTTTGAGCTCATCAACAAGAAGGTCACGGGTCAAGGGAGATTCAACGACTTCACACAATTTCAGCAACAAAATCAGGGCTGTTGTTCCAATGATGGGAGGGGCACAAATATCTGCAAGGCTGAGGAAATCAGCAACAACCAAAGGCGGAATTTTGAAGTCATATATGTCATGTGTCATATTATATATGTATTTCCATTGTTTTACGGTTTTTGAGGACGCATCACAATACTATGTGCCCCCTTTTTTTCACCGATCGGCCCAAGGTCTTTGCCAGCGATTTGGCCATTGGTTGTGAAACCTTGGACGCCTTCTACCACAAGTTTGAGTGCGACATGATGCTGCTGACGCTACGGCAGTGGGACCGGACATGACCGGACCGTAGCCGGACCGTAGGATGTGGGATGGAAAAGATTTGATATAATCTGAAAGTGGTATATAAATGGGAAACTAGTTGAATAAGAGTAGAATTCAGAACCAAGCAACACTTCGAATCAACGCATATAATCTATTTTGACTTATGAATTGTATTGGTTAATCTCAGATCATGGGCAGTTGAAGCACAAGCTGGATATGTTCGGATTTTTGTCGATGATTTTCTACATGGTTGCCACTCAAGAGGATCCTTGGGTGTCACCCTAGCAGTTAGTGACGTTTAGTGGCGGATGATCATCTTCAGCTGGCGGATTTCGTTTAATTTCTGATGCTTCAAGCTGCCAATGTCACCATCTTAATTTTACGACATAATTTTCACAATGCACACACACAATGCAAAACTGTTTATCCTCCATCACATGGAGATTCTATGTATGCTGTTTGTGTGTTTCTGCATATAAATCAAGAGGGGAAACGGGTTTGTATTGTTCTCCAAGTCGCCAATTCAGGAAAGGCCAACACGATGCCTTCTGCGATGCCGGAAAGAAGAAGAGCAAGTACAAGGTGCTTGGAACCGACCGTTCGGATGTTTCGGTGAAAGCTGTTGGGCGTACCTGGGTACCTGGATCACCACAATGGTCAGGGCCAGCGATTTTCGCCATGATTGGTTCCCTTTGCCAGTGAACAAATGGACATCATTTGGTTTTCCAATGTAGTATACTCATTTTGGAGTAAACAGGATGGAATCTTTGGACCAATCGAAGTTGGAACTTTGGAACATCATCTCAACATTGAAAGTAAGACATCCAGATTTATACTCCAGGATGATTGTATCTAGGCTGTTGGGATCATGATCGGTTGCAGGAACTTCTAACGTCTAACTAACCCCTGAAAGCGCAGTCAGACATGCGTTTCTATACCCAAGCTTTGTGACTTGGACAAATAGGACCTATTGTAGGATTCTGGGATATCCTCGGATGATTTTTCTTGTTATTGGATCTTGTTGTCAGGTCGTGAGTCATGAATCATCTTCCCACTTTAAGTTTGGCAATGAATCGCCATGTTGGTGCGGAAATCTATTCCCAGTGAGAAGGTGGCTCCCAAGCTCTTGGTATTTCCACGACCAGAGATGTCCCTTCAACCACCTGATTGGTAGATGAAAAATGAAAAAAACGGGGATAGCCCTGATTGAAGAAGCAGTAGGCAACTGGTTGGGCACAGCATCCAACATCAACCTGTATGAGTTTTCCCCACTGGACATCTCTGGCGTGTTGCCTTCCCGCTGCTACCAGGCTGTGAACTTGAAGATTAAAGGCAAGGAGGAAACCCTGGACTTGCAGCTCGGTTTGCAGAAGAGTCGATCCAAACATATCCAAACGGAGATTTGGGGGGTCCAAAATCTATTTGAACTTTCGTTTTTAGCTACTGGCTTGGAACTTCATTCCAAGTGATATGTCATGGGGTCAGCACCCAAGCTAAAATCTGTTTATCACTTCACTAGTGATATTGGATCATTCTCTGCACGTTTCCCTTGCTCGCAATGGAACTTCTTTTTCGGTCCCATTCCCACTTTTGTTGCTTAAATCACCATTTGTATGGATCGTGTTCCCCTCAACCGGAAAATCCATAGGCTTAACTCCCTATGTCCGGTGAAATCGCCATCTTGCTGGTAAAGTCAGCATCGAGGCCAGCTGAATCGGAAACCACGGTGGGCGACATGCTTCAAGCGGTGGACAAAATGTTCAGCTATCGCATGGGTGCGAAGACACTTGGACCTGGAAAAGCCATGGGGAAACCCGTTCAGGAAATGATCTACGTTCACAGTGGGTTTTCCACATCTAAACGTTGAAGGGAGGGGAACTATCGAACTACATGGGGATGGATCAACAACAATTCGACCAGCAATTGGGGGAATGAAATGGAATGAAGATCCACAGCTACGGGGGGCGATTTTGCAACAGAAGGCTACCACTGATTTTGGTCATTTAGAGGATATGCTACTGACTTGACCCATACCCATCATGCAGGCTGGTGAAACTCCTGGTTTTTGTTGCTGTCAGATCATCCAAAATCTGTTTAGACCATCTCATGCCCCAATTTTTGGGCAACCCGCTGGAGGTCATACTCAACTGACGAAGTGATATAGATGATTTTTAACTCCCTGGGCGAATTACTGTATTTAGCTGCTAATCATTTCAGTGATTCTGTTTTGACCACGTAGTTACGAACTGATATGAACTGAAATTAACCTATTTTCTCTCTATTAAGCTGAGATTATTCTGGATACCCTCTGGTAATCGAACATCGCCGCCGACAATCACCATTTTGAATAGGTAATTCATTGATATATTCATTGAACTAAATGGGCCATGGCTTACATAGCAGTGTTGGATTGCCAGAGGGTATATTTAATCCAGCTTATCATTTTTCCATGGTTTGTCATATTTTTTCCCAGTAAAATTGCCCACAGGACGAGGGTATGGCCCGGGCGGACTCAGCAACCATCAACCCATTGGAAAATCCCCCGGCCCCATGGAACAAATGAACGATACTTCTACCAGTAGTACCGGACAAGGCGTTGGCGGAAGTTTCAAGATAGGACACTGTAGGAGAGGTGAGTTGTTGTGATGCATGGATGGCAGAGCGAATCCACTGATGGACCGAAAGGTGGTTGGAGTTGTGTTTGTTGGAGTTACCTCACCCACAACTGCTGGATGTAGTGTGGTGTACTGTAGTTGTAGTTGTAGTTGTAACGTAGTGTAGTGGAGTTGTAGTTGTAGTGTAGTGTACATAGTGTAGTGTAGTTGTAGTTGCAGCTGCAGTTGTAGTTGTGGTGTGGTGTAATTAGTGTAGTGTAGTGTCGCGTACTTGTAGTTGTACTTCTAGTCGTAGTTGTAGTTGTAGGTGTAGTGTAGTGCGAAGTAGTTGTAGTTGTAGCAGTAGTTGTAGTGTAGTGCAATTAGTGTAGTGTAATGTAGTGTAGCTGTAGCTGTAGCTGTAGTTGTAGTTGTAGTAGTAGCTGTCGTGTAGTGTGATGTAGTTGTAGTTGTAGCTGTAGTTGTAGTGTACTGCAATTAGTGTAGTGTAGTGTGATGTAGTGTAGTTCTAGTTGTACTTGTAGCTGTAGTTGTAGTAGTAGTTGCAGTTGCAGTTGTAGTTTTAGGTATGGGCGCCTCTAAGAGGCCGTGCGTTTTTGAGGTTTTTGGGGTGGGGTGGGGTGGGGTGTGATAACGTTCATATCTCTTGCGTGCAAGGTGATGCGACGTGGATGCTACGTTGATGTTACGTTGATCATACTGTGATGCTACGTTGAGGAGCTGTTGAGGCTACTGTTGGGGTGGGGTGGGGTGTGATAACGTTCATATCTCTTGCGTGCAAGGTGATGCGACGTGGATGCTACGTTGATGTTACGTTGATCATACTGTGATGCTACGTTGAGGAGCCGTTGAGGCTACTGTTGGGGTGGGGTGGGGTGGGGTGTGATAACGTTCATATCTCTTGCGTGCAAGGTGATGCGACGTGGATGCTACGTTGATGTTACGTTGATCATACTGTGATGCTACGTTGAGGAGCCGTTGAGGCTACTGTTGATACGTTGATGTTACTTTGATCATGCCCCGTTGCTACGTTGATGTTATGTTGATTATATGTTGATGTTACGTTTTAATACGTTGATGTTACATTGATGATGGTGTGGGGTTCGGGTTTGGGTATAGAGGTGTCCTACCAGGTAGTTGTTTGTGATATACAAGTATTTTGTTCAACATTATGTCAGAAATTGATGATGGACTTCAAGTTAAAAATATGCTACGCTGCAGATGGTTATAATATATAGTATTTTGTTCAACATCATGTAAGAAGTTGGTGATGGACTACAAGTTATATATATTATACGCTGCATATGGTTATAATATATAGTATTTTGTTCAACATCATGTCAGAAATTGATGATGGACTTCAAGTTATATATATATTATACGCTGCACATGGTTATAATATATATATATATTATTTTGTTATAATATATATATATTATTTTGTTATAATATATATATATATTATTTTGTTATTAGACAGACATCATGAAATGTGTCTGGGTTTTTCTGTGGCGAAGAAATTGCCACAACGACATGTACAAATGTCTAGGAGACCTTTGCCGCAAAAGCGGCTGAAACAAAGAGAAGAAAAAGCGTACAGCTGCCTTTTCCAACATGTAGCTTTCGTCCCACAAAAACCAGTGAAATCACACCGAGACCTTCATTTTTCCATACCCTTCCATGACTTTTGACACACCCACAATATATAAATATCTGTGAAAAACCGCTCTCGTTGTGGCGAAACCTTGAAACATCATTGAAGAGAAATATATCCATGTGCAAAAACGCACGGCCTCTTAGAGGCGCCCCCACCTAGTTTTAGTGTAGTGTAGTGTAATGTAGCGCACTTGTAGTTGTAGTTGTAGTTTTAGTGTAACGTAGTATAATGTAGTGTAGTGTAAATAGTCTAGTGTAGTGTAACTAGTGTAGTGTAGTGTAATGCATGCAGTTGTAGTGGCAGTTGCAGTTGCAGTTGCAGTTGTCGTAGTAGTAGTCGTCGTCGTCGTGGTAGTAGTAGTAGTAGTAGTAGTAGTAGTAGTGGTAGTGGTAGTGGTAGTGGTAGTGGTAGTGGAAGTGGTAGTGGTAGTGGTAGTGGTAGTGGTAGTGGTAGTGGTCGTAGTCGTAGTCGTAGTCGTAGTCGTATAGTCGTAGTCGTAGTCGTAGTCGTAGTCGTAGTCGTAGTCGTAGTCGTGGTGGTGGTGGTGGTGGTAGTAGAAGTAGTAGTAGTAGTAGTAGTAGTAGTAGTAGGAGTAGTAGGAGTAGTAGGAGTAGTAGTAGCAGTAGTAGTAGTAGTAGTAGTAGCAGCAGCAGCAGCAGTTGCAGTTGCAGTGTCATTAGTGTAGTGTAATTGGTGTTAGGTTCTGTAATTAGTGTAGTGTAATTGCTGCAATGCAGTGCAATTAGTGTAGTGTAATGTAGCGTAATGATTTGTATGCATAGTTGTAGCGTAGTGGTAGTGGTAGTGGTGGTTGTAGTTGTAGTGGTAGTGATAGTGGTAGTTGTAGTTGTTTATCTATTTATCTATCTATCTATCTACCTATCTATCTACCTATCTATCTATCTATCTACCTATCTATCTACCTATCTATCTACCTATCTATCTAATCTACCTATCTAATCTATCTATCTAATCTATCTATCTATCTAATCTATCTATCTAATCTAGCTATCTATCTATCTATCTATCTCTCTCTCTCTATCTCTCTAACCGATCTATCTAATCTCCCTATCTATCTATCATCTAACTATCTCTCTCTACTCTATCTATCTACTCACTATCTATCTACTATTAATCTATTTATCTATCTATCTATCTATCTCTCTAGCTATCTTCTTCTCTCTATCTATCTTCTACCTATCTATCTATCCTATCTATCCTATCTATCCTATCTATCCTATCTATCCTATCTATCCTATCTATCCTATCTATCCTATCTATCCTATCTATCCTAGCTATCCTATCTATCCTATCTATCCTATCTATCCTATCTATCCTATCTATCCTATCTATCCTATCTATCCTATCTATCCTATCTATCCTATCTATCCTATCTATCCTATCTAATCTATCTATCCTATCTATCCTATCTATCCTATCTATCCTATCTATCCTATCTATCCTATCTATCCTATCTATCTTATCTATCCTATCTATCCTATCTATCCTATCTATCCTATCTATCCTATCTATCCTATCTATCCTATCTATCCTATCTATCCTATCTATCCTATCCTATCTATCCTATCCATCCTATCCATCCTATCCATCCTATCCATCCTATCTATCCTATCTATCCTATCTATCCTATCTATCCGATCTATCCTATCTATCCTATCTATCCGTCTATCCTATCTATCCTATCTATCCTATCTATCCTATCTATCCTATCTATCCTATCTATCCTATCTATCCTATCTATCCTATCTATCCTATCTATCCTTCTATCTATCTATCTATCTATCTATCCTATCTATCCTATCTATCCTATCTATCCTATCTATCCTATCTATCCTATCTATCCTATCTATCCTATCTATCCTATCTATCTATCTATCTATCTCTTTCTATCTACCTACCTACCTACCTATCTATCAATCTATCTATCTATCTATCTTTCGATATCTATATCTATCTATCTATTTAAAATTTATCTCTCTCTCTCTTTCATCTAATTATCTATCTAACTATCTATCTGTCTATCTATCTATCTATCTATCCAAATCTAATCCAATCTAATCTAACCTAATCTAATCTAATCTACTCTACTCTACTCTACTCTACTCTACTCTAATCTATCTATCTACCTATCTACCTATCTATCTATCTATCTATCTTGCTATCTATCTATCTATCTATCTGTCTATCCATCTATCTATCTACCAATCAACAATCTATCTATCTATCTGTCTATCTATCTATCTATCTGTCTGTCTGTCTATCTAATCTAATCTAATCTAACCTAACCTAACCTAATCTAATCTAATCTAATCTAATCTAATCCTATCTATCTAATCGAATCTAATCTAATCTAATCTTATCTTATCTAATCTTATCTTACCTATCCTATCTACCCTATCTACCCTATCTATCCTATCTATCCTATCTATCCTATCTATCCTATCTATCCATCTATCCTATCTATCCTATCTATCCTATCTATCCTATCTATCCTATCTATCCTATCTATCCTATCTATCCTATCTATCCTATCTATCCTATCTATCTGTCTATCCTATCTATCCTATCTATCCTATCTATCCTATCCATCCTATCTATCCTATCTATCCTATCTATCCTATCTACCCTATCTATCCTATCTATCCTATCTATCCTATCTATCCTATCTATCCTATCTATCCTATCTATCCTATCTATCTATCTATCTAACTAACTGCCTCTCCATCTATCTATCTATCTATCTGTCTATCTATCTGTCTATCTATCTGTCTATCTATCTGTCTATCTATCTATCTATCTAGCTATCTCCCCATCTACCTATCTACCTATCTACCTATCTACCTATCTCTCTGTCTCTCTGTCTCTCTGTCTGTCTGTCTGTCTATCTGCAAGCTTGAAAACGAAACTATTCTGCGAGATGTCATTAGGTTTTGAACTTGACAACATCAAAAACGGAGCAATCTATGAAACTTCTTCAATTTTTGAACTTGACAACGTCAAACGCGAAACAATTCTGCGAGACTTCTTCAGTTTTTGAACTTGACAACATCCAAAACGAAGCAATTCTGCGAGACTTCTTCAATTTTTGAACTTAACAACATCAAGAACAAAGCAATTCACTCGGAAACGGTTGAGATTTACACACGGTTCTGAAATGATATCTCCCAACTCATTCTGTGGATTTATCTTCATAGTAAGGTTAGTGGTTAGGGTTAGTACACCTTTTTGACGAAATGGTTAACAATATTTTATTTAAGGGTTAGATTCCCCATGGGGTTAGAAAAGCATGCTTGTAATGGTAATGAATTTGCAGCATAAGGGTTAGAAAGGCAACTTAATATAAGGGTTAGGCGTGGTCGTGGTCTAAAGTACTGCGCCTGCCACGAAAAAGTGATGCCAGGTCATACGAAGTGCTGCACCTGTCACGCAAAATCATCTCAGCAAACCTGAAGATCTGATGCTCCAAAATGCAATCCCTCTCAGGAAATCAGCGCCCGGACCTCCTAACATCTCTGATGAACATGTCTCTTGTACTGCGCCTGTCACGCGAAGTGCATCTTTGCAGATCCGCTTCAAATGTCCCACGCTTGCCATCGTTTTTGGAAATGCTACAGAGCTTTCACGTTTTGCTCACTTTTGAGAAGGTGCGCAATCCCTTGCGCCTGCCACGCGAAACGAGATCTTAACGTCCAAAAGTTGTCCGAACTCCTGTTGTTTTTAACATTTTGACTTCGAAATGTGCTTCGCGCCACAACGGCGTGCACTTTTTCGAGATCTGAACTTCCAAAAGTGGTCGGGAGCTGGTGTGTTTTGTACATTTTGACTTCGAAATGTGCTTCGTGCCACAACGGCGTGCACTTTTTCGACATCTCAACTTCCAAAAGTGGTCCGAGCATGTGGTGTTTTGTACATTTTGACTTCGAAATGTGCTTCGTGCCACAACGGCGTGCACTTTTTCGACATCTCAACTTCCAAAAGTGCTCCGAACGTGAGGTGTTTTTAGCTTTTTCACTTGCAAGTGTGCTTCGCGCCACAACGGTGTGCACTTTTTCATCTCTCATCTGGCCAGATGGCTCCGCACCTGCCGCTTTAGCGAGCCGGAGCCACAAATCATAGGAAAAACACAGTGTTTCGCGACTTTCCTACCTTTTCGTGCATCTGCATCTTCTTTCTTCTGACTCTTTCTCTTCTCTGATCTTCTCTCTTCTACTCTTCTCTTCTCTCTGACTCTTCCCATCCCTGCTTTTCATTTGTCCATATTGTCGGAAGTTTGACTTCTAAACTTCCTTCGATCATCAACTATATCCCAACATTTCCCCCATCACATGCGACAATATCCCCATTTGAATCCCATAAAATTCCATGAAATCCCATAAAGTCCCATTGAACCCCAGTTAAACCCTTATCATATCCCCATGACCCGGAGGCTATGTAGCCCAGTTTCACCCAACGACTCGGGACCCTGGCCGTCCCGCGTGCCAGGTTGACCGCCTTGACACCCGAGGGCACAGCGCTGAAGGCCGATGCCACGGTGCCCAGCGCCATGGTCATCGATGGCTTGCAGGAGATCCGGCCTTCCCATGGTGATTTTAGGGAGGAAATCATGGGGTTTCATGGACAAAGATGGGGATTTTTGCTGGGGATCTGTGATGGAGGATATTAGCGGATGTGATGGGGAAATAATGGGATACGATCGATTATAATTAATTATAATGGAGTGTAATGGAAGTATAAACAGTTTGATATGATTTATGGGTGAAGAAAAACTAGTTTTACATGAAATTACCATCCCCCCAACTCACATGACGACCCTGCCCTGAGTTGGTGGTTGGAGGACAACTTTCTGAACATAGGTGACATTCATTGTCTATGTTAGTTGGGGGACCATAGTTTATCATTGTTTTCCCAATGTTTTAATGGGTCCGGTGATGCACCTCACAACAATTGAGATAGAACTTGCAAGAACGTGGATCCATCAAACATAAATAAGGACGTGGCCAGCACTAAAACCTATAAAAAAATCATATATATATAGATCAAACAGGTCAGAAGGAACATATGGAAGGAACACAAATGGTTATATGACCAGCCACCTGCACCTACACAAAACATCATAAAACACCAGATACGGATAGAACCAATGACAATTGTTGTGTTTTATAGCAGCTATCAGAACGTAATTGTACATGTCGTCAAGTTGTCTAACGCTTGTTTGTCCGCTTTGAGGTGGCAAAACCACCCTCACATCCAAGATTTTCCCGAATGGTCTGTACCAACGTGACCAAATGTTTGCGTTTTACTTGGTGTTTGTTGATGCATTCTCAGTCTGTGCCGGCTAGATCGTTTTTGTTGATATCAATCGCTATTGTTGACAGCTATATCTTGAGGTATCTTAAGTACTGTATATAGCCAATATAAATACATAAACAAACGTGTCACATGTCAATGTCTTTCGTTATTTGTTTGTCACTGGTAATGTCTTATTCACCTTGACAAAAGTCCTGACTTCTGGATAAAATCCCCATTTCGTTGGTGAAACTCTCCACCATCATGTCCTTTTGCCACTGGTTGGTTGCCAAAGAAGGTGAGGAACTTCCCGTTCAACAAACTATATATATGTAGATGAAATTAGATGAATGGAAATGGTATACCATGGTATACCACACCGACTCCAAACATTATTCCTACGGAAGTCATCATTGGATCATCCCAGATTGGTTGCCGGGTATGTATAGATTGGTTACTGCATATGTTTTTAAGGTGGCTATACCCTCGTTGTTGGTTTACCCACCCACGATGAATCATCCCGGTGGGGTTGCTGAAATCACCATGATAACAACCACAACAACCGTTATATCACCAGAATGCCCATATCATAAAAAAACAAACATCATGTGGTAAAACCAATAAAATAACACCCCACAATTTTTGATGCTCCATACCTTTCTTGTGAGATTGGGGATGGTTCTGTTTATTAGGTTTGCCACATCCAGTTTTTCCCATAAAACAGAGCAACAACAGCCACCGCACTTCGCGAGGATTTCCAGCATGCGCGGTATGCTTGGCCTCATCCTGTGTGCATCATCGGTGGGACCAGGGGTCCAGGGGTCCAGGGGTCCAGGGGACGGGGGCTAGGTTGAACGGTGCCGGCAGAGCCAGGCTATAGTTACCCAAAAAGACAATTTCATCGAACTAAAACAATGATGAATTAGTTTTTGGAAAATCATCTTTTGGCATTTTGGCGCTTATGACTTGATGTTTTGCGCACATTTCCCTCAAATCCATGGACCAATACAACCCCATCCGCACCCCCATGGGGTCGTGGGCCTTCCTAAACTGATAGGTGGTGGCTTCTATGGGGTGAAGATGGCGATGGAGCAACTTGGTTGTGGCGACTGAAGATGGGGCTGGCGACAAAGACGGGAACCTGAACACGATCTATCCCAAATAGCATACGCCTATATTTCGGATCTATCCCAAATCACCATGTTGTCTTTCGCCATATCACGCACCCTCACCTGCCAGGTATTTTTTCCACCATGCCTGATCACATGTATCTCAATATGGGTGTTTTTCGACTTGGGGTACCCTCTTCACCATTGGTCCCCCCAAAAATAGCCGGTAACTTGGGTGATCACTTCAGGTTCCCCAATTTTTGGATGTCTCCCCATCTTAGTTTCTTGGCCCCAGATCTCCTATTAGTTTACTGGAGGGAAAATGATTGAGGATGATGGAAAATACAATGATTATTATTGTCAATGATTGAGGATTTTTGCCGTTTTAGGAACCACCAAATGGTATATCCAATGATTATGGTCCATCTCCACATAATATCTCATTTTTTTGATGGTTAAATGGTTAAATATAGTACCCTTGAATCCCCAAGGTACATGCTGGTTGTTGGCGGTAACATCATTCACCCTTTTCGGCCTCATACAGTAAATCTTCCCAATGAGCCAATGAGTTGGGTCATTTTAGGACCCACCCAAATGGTATGTCGGTATTTCCAATGAGTATGGTCAATCTCCATTCAAATAACCATCCAAATGATATTTTTTGATGATCTTCATTCGTCATCCCCATCTTTGATGGTTGATCCCTTAACTAATCCACATGAATCAATACAAATTGTATTCCCATCTTTAGCATTTTTTTGGATGGTTGACCAATGCCCATTTTTTGACATGTAATATCCCTTAATCAATCCCCATGATGATTGATAGAATCATATAATCATATATGTATATATATATAGTCACCATTTTTTGATGGTTCATTCATCTTTTCCCTCATGAATCCCCATGTAATCACCAGTTTTTGCAGGAATCCATAACAGTTCATGGATCTTTTCCCCAGTGAATCCCCATGAATCCGCAAGGTACATGCTGCACAAGAACGAAAACATCATGCTCTTCGACCGTCACAAGGACGCCGGAGGCGATGCCTGGCTCTACTCGGCCACCAAGTATTCCAGGCGTGGGATGGGCGGTGAAATATGGCTTGGTAAACCATGGGGGTTGGATGGGTTTAGATGGGTTTGAATGGGTATATATATATATGTATAGATATATGCATATATATATAGATATATCAATGGGTTTAAGACCTGCGGTTGATTCAAAGACAATTTCGATTTATATAAACCGTCTCTATTGAAAACCACAGTCTTACGAACGAAATATACTGGTATCCCGTAAAGGGTTCGGTGCAATGCTCAAGACATAACCCCGGGTTGCCTTTTGGTGGTTTGCAATGTTTTTATTTTTTATAGTTGAAAGTTTCTTTCTTTCAACTTTTTTTTGCCATTGCCTGCTTAAAAAAAAACATGCGGTGTTCAACCATGGATCAGCCGGTTGATTCAGTCGATGTGTATCATGATGACTACCACGACTGTTAGATTATTGCCTCATTGTTACTATAGATGATGTATAGTAGTTATCATTTTGTTATAGCGATTCCTATTGTTATTATTGCTATCTCTACTACTTAGTACTGCTATCACTTTCACTATTGTTGCTCTATACTCTATACTACAGATGATTCGAGTTTGACGCTGTATATTTATATTGTATAGTTCTGTATTGATACAGTTATATAACAGCTGTGAGTATTCATCTTTTCACAAGACCTTGAACGACATGGCCATAGCGGGCGCGCATCGACGTGTCTCGTTGTGCCAGGTGCCAGACAGACTTCGGCGCCTTCAACATCTGGTGGGGTCATCAGCTCCACGGTTGCAGCTGTATTTGTATACGTATACATGTGTACATATATAGAGGATATAAATATGAATGACACACACACAGATATGTAT